CAAAAAAAGGCAAGTGCTTCCCGCACTGTTCCACCCAACGTTACAAATTTGCAAAGACGGGACTGTCTGTCCCCAAGATTCTAAGCACTACAGGTAATTTACAACGACAACACTAAATTGCATGAATGTCTATCTACCATACATGACCCGCAACAGTGTACAGGGATCGAGCAACGAAGCCTTGCCGTGACTACGACGGCGCACCTACCAACACGACTGCAACGGGACACCAGCCATCAACTCGCCCCCGGAAACAAGGGACTCCACAATTGCACAACACACTTCCTAGCTGCTCGGCCTTGAACGAATGGCCTTCGCTATTTCCAACAATGCGTGGCACATGAGTTTGYTGACTTCGTCTGACGCGGCATAGTGCTTCCTTTGCACTTCCACCTCCGCTTCCRMCGCCTCGCACTGCCGGACCTRGATAGAGCATTGCCGCTTGCTTGCACTCTCCATCGTCGACGCCATTAGCTCCCCGTGTTTCTCCATGCATTCCGTCAGCGCCTCGAAAGTCTGCTGCCTCRTGCTCTTCCTTTTCCCAGMACCGYCGGGGGTGCCCRTCGTCTGCGAAGAGCCTCGCGTCGACCCCTCCTCCTCGTCTTCTCGCCCTGCACCTCCTTCCCCGTCCGCCACCGATTCAGGATCCACGTAAGACGTCGAAGGCGTGCGCATGCCGCCAGACGCACCGGTGTCTGCCACGTTCTTCGGGTGGATGGTGTGGTTCATCCCAGTCGACCCCTCTATCTCGTTATAAACTACGCGATCCATCGTGAAATTGAAGCCCCTGCTCATCCTCTCCTTCGACGTCAACTGGAAAAAGTCGGCACCCCCTGACGGTGATTGAAAGTGATGGACTTTCTTGAACTGCTGCATTAGATTGTCCCACTTCTTCCCGCATTTCTCCGCATTCCTGTCCACGCCGACGTTCTTCAACCTTTGGGCGACGTCTTGCCATTTCCATTCCCACGGTTTCATCCGTGCGTATGCGTGGCCCATCCCCTGCATATGCGCATCTTGGTCACATTTAGCCCTTATGAGGGCTATAATGTGTTCCACGGACCAGAAGTTGCGCTTCTCCTCCGCATCACCGTCGCCTTCGCCACCGCTCCCCTTTCCCTGCCCTTTCTTCGCCCGCGGACGAGCATTGCGGCCGGAAGGCTTGGACTTCCCACCCTTACCAGCCATGTCGCTCTGCAACGATGGCGACGCGTGACCACCACCCCCTTCCCCACACTCTACGTCATTGTCGTCGTCGTCGTCATCGTCTGCTTCCGCCGGTGGATCGTCCGTCTCGTTCTCGTTCTCCTTTCTCCCACGTGAAGACGCTCCACCCCCCGTGTGATGTATTCCTCTCACCGCAGCCGGTGATCCCGCCGCAGGTCCCTCCACACCTCCCTCCCGTCGCGACCATTACCAACATCCAAGAAGTCAGTCCCGCCGTCGACTCCGACGCCACGGCCTCGTGCCACTTCCGACGCCGCAGACAGGGGAGATGGCGACTGCATCCACTCCTGCCGACCCTGGGTGCCCTTGGACAGAGAGGCCGCCCGTGGTTGGGGCATCGTAGAGTTCCGGTTCGTTCCCGCCGTCTCACTCGCCAACGCCCTCGTCCTCGCTGATCGATCAACAACTGTCAATTGCCCGCCTTCGTCGTCGGGGTGGGGTCGCACGAGCACTGTGCGCGATGGAGTTGTGGACCGCCCGGTGGACAAACCAAACGATAGGTTGACGCGGCCATCTCCTTCGTCTTCGCCAAGGCCAGGCCGAAGGAGTTCAGTGAACGACTGCTCGTACACCCTGCCGCCCGTCCCGCACAGCTCCGTGGCTGTCCACTCCTGCGTTGATCCACTGCCCAACGACACGGTTTGTGGCCGTCTCTCCACCACCTCCTCCTCGTCCTATGAGCCGGGGAGTGGTTGCAAGTGCGGTGGCAATGCATCATACCCAACCCGCTGGGAGGCCCTGCCAACGGTCGACAGGCTCCCCCCACACCGCCTCCCTCCAACCTGCTCCCCACCAGACCGGGGGATCGCCTGCCGTGCCTCCATCCTGGCGTCCTTCATCGAAGACCTTCTTTTGCGTCGACGCGGCGGCACGTTCCCAAGGATGCACACGCGGAAGAGAACCACGAGGAGCAGCAACAGGACAACGAGGATCAGCAGCGGCAGCCTGCGGAACATGTCAGCCATGAAACTGTCGACGACGACGGCAGCAAACAGAAGACAACGCGGGCGCCAACATAACAGCGGAGCGCAATGCTGCAAACGGCCGTCCCGACTTCGCAACAATCCCCCGAGGACGTCTTCGGTCTCCCACGCTCAGTGCATAATTGGGAGCTGGAGTGCGGCCTGAAATATTCGTATCTGCCGACCGTTGGGACATTCCCGCGGATTGCCAAACGCGACGACGCAAGACAGCACCTTCTGGATGTGGGGGATGCCGGTTGCCCGCAAACGGTAACCGTTGGAGTGAAGCCGAACGTTGGCGACCCAACATGTCCATCGAGACGCAGGCAGGACCACCGATGGACCAGACGGAATTGAAAAATGTCGTCGAAGGAGCTGCCGTCGACGCCCCGATTCTTCCGGAAGCTCGACCTCCGAGGGACCTCGGGAGGTCCCTTGGAGAAATCGCCAAAATGGCTGTGGCCCCGAGGAATCCCCGAGGAAATGTTTTCACATTTTCTTTTCCGCGTCTTCCCCAAGGATGAGTGGAATGAGCATTTCCTTGGGGAATTTCGGGCCCCGAGGAGTGTCGAACGAGGCCCTAAACCCTAAACCCTCAACTCTAGTTTGTATTTTTCCAGAAACATAAACTCCAAATCTTGTCCGAGCATTTCTTGAAGTCCCCTGAAGCAACTTAGCCTGTCAGCTCACGGTGCCTGTGTTGGGCCTTGGTCGCTTGGTATCTGGAACACCTGTCTTCTCCCCTCTGTTTCCCAATTGTGCCTGTCTCTCCATTGATTGCAGAAATCCTCCGGCTCTGCCACCTTACCCACAGCGGTCTCTGCTTTACTAGTCTTTTTTGTTCTTCGATTTATTCCCAGTTTTTGAATTGGATTGTGCCCTTCTCTATCTCCGCGACTCTATTCTTGCTAAGCCAGATTCTTTCGAAATTCCTCTCACTCCTTTCGTTTTATGCAGGTTCTTTTTTTTTTTTTTTTTTTTT